ATGTTATAGTAATCCTTGCTCACTATGGGGAGGTAGGAATAGGACTTCAAGCTGGGTAGATCTACATAATTATCATTTTATGCCGGATATCAATGATTAAAATAGGATAGGAATCAGTGACGGCTGAGATAAAACATTTTAATAAATTGAATGCAACATTTTGAAACCCATTCTCAAGCGCCACCACAATGTTTCGCACGGACGCGAGCTAGGGCAATTGAAACATCTCGGTATTAGAGAATTTTAGGTAGTGGCGACTGGCGAGTATTCGATGTCTCTGCAACTGCCTCATTTAGCCATTTATCGGTACCAACGGGTGCGAGTTTATGATCAGCTTCCCCGCCAGGTAACTTATCTTAAGACCGGGGGGTGAAATCGAGATCCCCCAAACTTGGCTGTTATCAAATTTGTTCACTCCTTCATCACAATACATAATACATGCAGATATCAAACTAGTTTCCGAGCCAGCACCTTTAATTATTGTACGCACCAAAAGCAGTTGAGCTGAGCAGTAGCTGCGCAGTAGCTAAGCCGTGTTAAATCTTAGTATTAGTATTTATACGCCGTTCGCACCAAAAATTACTTAAAGGTAGACGAAGACCGCTTTAAGTCATATTTTAGAATGAGCCCACAACCATTCTCTGCCGTTTTGGACCACGTGTGTTTTGTTTCTGTTTTGTTGTACGGGCATTCAAGAGGAGAATGTAGAAGCTGTCTCCAGTTGTCTTGAGCTGATCGAGATATCTTCAGTGTTGCCATCCAGATTTTTAAGAGACTACTAAATTTGGGAAAAAATTCCACTAAATGGGACGAAAAAAACAACAACATTTTTTAGCTGCCGTATAGATTCATCGATATCAGAGATTCTAAACTTGGTCCACTCCCTGACCAGCTAGCCCGGGTATACAGTGGGCGATGTTGGCTTTGTTTATACTGGACTGAATACCACAAGACCAGCTTAAATTTTTCAAAAGTAAAATGTTGTCCAAGTGTATTTTCTTGCTCTGTATTTCAAGTCACTAATGAGCGACTGTCTCAAGATCTTGTTACTGATAGAGACAATGGATGAGTTCAAAGAAAATGAAAACGAAAACAAAAAAATAAAAGTAGACTAATACAACAATAGAGAGAGCGTTTGAAGGTCACGAAGCGAAACTTGATGTATGGAGGTTCTAGCAGCATATTTTTTAACAGTCAGAGACCTGATATTTTCTGTTGCACTCAGTGACCTGCACTATGTCAAATATTAGCTCAGACCAAAAACAAAAAACAAAAAAAAAACAACACATCAGCAATATAAACTTACCTCTTGGAGAGAAGCCTAGTGTATGGTGCTTATTATTGAACGAATGAGACGAAAAATTGACACTTACATAATCAAATTATGACAAAAAGTGTATCGTCTTTTGTCTCTTGATCATGTCTCATGTGGTAGCACAGCGTTAAGCACTAACTGGTACCCCTTGATTTCAAAATTTCACGTCAGTAGCGGGTATTGTCGCCCCTTGCAATAATGCAAACTTGGCATTTTCTGAGCATTCTTCGAGTCCGTGTTTTTTTTCTTCGTAAAAAAATTAATAAATTGTTGTGGCAGTCAATTCCACTCACGAACCAAACCATGTCTCTGTCGTTGTATAATGTTACTGTCGTTTTGGGAGCTCACTTTCTGGGCCCATTCAGTTCAAGCGTAATTATTGGAAAGAAGGCGAACGTTGGTCATTATAGGGCAGCCTTGCTCGATGTCCGAATATCTTTCAACGCCGTTGTATCCTTCTTTTGCTGATAACTCTCCCAGTGTTTGTATGAAATTGACATTCAGAGCTGGTCGTTGTGAGAAAGAGATCTCGAAGATGACAGAGCAGTATCTGTCTGTTTCTCGGGCAGTATCGACTTGTGATCTGCCTTGTCTTGGTCTGTTAGGTGTAACTTCAGTTACTTGGAACCTATTTTGCAGGATATTGATGGTAGGATGGTTGCAATGAAGCATCCGCACCCCTCTACGGGCCGGTACTAGAACCTAGGGTATTCAAATCGCCCAAACAGCGCTCCTCGGGGCTTAACCTTGGCATCTTGTAAAGCAGTTTAAATCTTTTTTTTAAAAAAAGCTGGAATGTGTATGTATTTTTTTTCGGTTCTAAAATTGCTAATGTGATGACCTATACACAATTTAGACTATTTCATAATTACGGCGGAGCTTAAGTCACACAACATATTAATTTACACGTTCCACAAAAAGATCAACGCGGAGTCATGGTGAGTGATGTTCGAAATTTTGCTGACTAACTCACGTGAACAAGGGCACAAGGGCACTATTACAAAAATACAAAGTGGGAAGTTTCTATTGCCGCTTGGTATACATTAATATAGCTAATGTCATTCTGTCGGGCATTTCAAAACACAATGATTATTAAATGACCATTTTCCAGCCTGCAAGTCTTACCTCTTTCCCCAATATCAACAATAAACAAAGGCTGGCCAGAACTTAGCGTGTCCCACCTTCCCCTCCACGACAAGCTATCAAAACAACACAACAATGTCATCATCAGCGATACTAGGACTCCCGGTAACACATTCCTCTCCAAAGCGAACTGTCAAAACAAACTATAACAATGTCACAATCAAAGATTTCAAACTTGGTTCTCTCAGTCGCCAGCTGGCCCGGGCACACAATAAGCGCTGTGGTGTTGACACGTCTTTGATGTCAGCCGCCATGGTCAGTGGATACGTAATTTATCCCCCTTGATTGAGTCTTAGACCTAAGGGCAAGAACTCATCCGCGCACACCAGTTGGTATAAATACCGGAGACGTTGGTTTCTTGTTTGTTTTTGTAAAGTGTTTTACGGCGCTCGCAACTGCATACAGCCATATGAGCGCGAGGGACACACCTAATATTTTCAGTTGGTAGGAAATTTTGAATTTTGCCCGGGTGGCGGCCGAAGCCTACTCTTATCGATTTTAGACCACCAAGGGATCTTTAACGTGCGCAACTTGCACACGGGCCCTCCGAGATTTTTCGCCCTTGTCCGAGAAGGCTAGGTGTAGATCTTTCCTACCAGAAGATCAGGGGTGTGGCAGAAAGACAGCAGTAAGGAGGAGCCAAGGAGTAGCAGTAGAAAGGCTGCAGAAAGAGTCAGGAGCCCAGAGGACGGGGCAAAGGAGGTGAGGGGGTGGGGCCAGAAAGTGGAAATGAAAGCAGACAACAGAACATTGCTAGAGAGCAGGAAAGGAGGTGAAAGGAGACAATTTTAGAGAAGAAAATTTTTTTGGTCGCTACCCGGATTCGAACCGGGACCTTTGAATGAGAGGCCAACACCTTAACCTCTAGGCCACGAGAGCCCCTACGTTGGTTTCTGCTGTCAGTTCAGTCAGAACCTGCTTCCTGTCTACATCGTTCCTTGAGTTCCTCAACCGAATTTGCGTCGCGTTGTACATGGAGATGGAGAAAGTTGACGAGCATGCTGCTGCCTTCAGCGCCTTGAACTTGGATAGAGGCCTCTGTGTCGGCAAAGGAACCTCGGCCGAGGTCGTCCTTGCATCATCTCGAGACGACGTATCCAGGAAATGTGCCGTGAAGATATTCAACCTGGTGAAAGACAACCGGTGTAATGAGTGGGGGTTCATCAAGGAAGTTGATGTCTTGAAGGAGCTTCGCCATCCACGTATCGTCTCGTTACTGACGTCTTTGGACAACCCTTGCCACGGATATATTGTCTTAAAGTACTACTCGAATGGGAGCCTGGAGAAGAGTCTCGGAGCTTTGGAGCCCCCACAGGTGCTTGGTTATATTCGTGATATCGGGGCGGCGCTAGAACACACACACCGTCGAGGAATTTTCCACCAGGACATCAAGCGCAAGCCGGCCAATGTTCTTGTGGACAAGGAAGACCGCGCCGTTCTGTGCGACTTTGGCCTGTCAGGACGGTTGAAGAACGGCAACACCAAAGTGACGAGATGGGTGACCACTCCCGGCTTCCATGGACCTGAAACCAAGAAAGGACAAGCGATGTGCCCTTATAAGGTAAGAAATCGTTTTTATTTCAGTATGTAAACTATTTTTGTCAATGTTACTCCCAGTGTTTGTCACTATTTTCCGAACTTTTCCTACTTTTTTCCCCAACTTCTCCCTTAGCAATCTCTTTCCCACTCTCTGTCTGTTTATATGTTTTCCACTTACTCAATCTCTCTCTCTCTCTCTCTCTCTCTCTCTCTCTCTCTCTCTCTCTCTCTTTCTTTCTCCTCCCCCTCTCTCTCTCCTTCCCTCTCTCTTTCTCTTTCTCTCTCTCTCTATTTATTAGTTCTTATCTTTCGACCCTACTCCCCATCCCCCCCCCAAAAAAAATTCCCTTCTCTTTAACTATAAATTTCTGATATGTGTAAATTTTAACAAGTTTTTGTAACTATATACCCTCATTGCATGTCTTACTCTTCTCCTAAACGTCTTTTCCCCTCTCTCCCCTCTCTTCTCCCTACTCCATATCTCTCTCTCTTTCTCTCTCACCCTTTCTCACTCTCTCTCTTTCTCCCTCTCTCTTATTTTTTCAAAATGTATTATATGTATTAGTAACTATATCCTTATTGCATGTCTTAGTCTTCTCTTCTGTATGAC